GTGGTGGGGTACTGGTGGGGAGTGGAGGTGTGACCTGCGGATGTGGTGGGGTACTGGTGGGGAGTGGAGGTGTGACCCTGCGGATGTGGTGGGGTACTGGTGGGGAGTGGAGGTGTGACCTGCGGATGTGGTGGGGTACTGGTGGGGAGTGGAGGTGTGACCCTGCGGATGTGGTGGGGTACTGGGAACTGTGTCCTCCTCCCCTCAGTCCTGTCCTTTCAGATCAGCGGCTCCTGGATACCTTGATTTTTTAAACTTTCTGAATGTAGTTCTCTAGGTTGATTGTAGCTTTATTAATTTTTGCTTTTGTTTTAATTTTTTGGGGGGGATATTTTGAGACAGGGTTTCTCTGTGTAGCCCTGGCTGTCCTGGAACTCACTCTGTAGACCAGGCTGGCCTCAAACTCGGAAATCCGCCTGCCTCTGCCTCCCAAGTGCTGGGATTAAAGACATGAGCCACCACTGCCCGGCTTTGTTTTAATTTTTTTAAGACAGGGTTTTATGTAGCCCAGGCTAGCCTTGAAATATCTTAAGAAGCTGACAGGGGCTTTGATCTGTTGAATCTGTTGATTTTGTCTGTAATATTGTATATAATTAAGGGGTGATAGTAACTTTAGGGTTTCTGTTTGGGAAGGGAGCTCTTTATGTAGCATAGGCTAACTAACCTTGAACCCAAGATACTTCTGCCTTAGGCTCTTGAATGCAGAGGCATGCTAGAGACACTACAACACACATGACTTTATTTTTATTGAAAAGTTTTATTGAAAGATTAGAAAGTTTTTGTAGTAAAATATTGACAGACCAACTGCAGTCGCTCTTTCCTCTAACCCAGCATTTAGGGGACAGGTTGGTCTTGAAGCCATTCTGGACAATACAGAGAGTTCTAGAGCAGCTGGTGAGACTGTGTGTCAAACATAAGATTGACTAAATGTCAGGTGTAGAGTTAGGTGTGGTAGTGAATGTTTATAATCCTACCCCTTGAGCAGCAGAGGCAGGGGATTTCTGTAAGGTCAAGGGTGGCTTCATTACTTAGCAAGTTCTAAGCCAGCCAGAACTCCACCACGAGGTCCTGGGCTGCAACAGGCACAACATGTTAGTATGGTGAGGAGGCTGATCTCAGTGCTACCCCTCCAGCATGGCCAGGGTCCAGGGCCACTTCTGCACCCTGTGCTCTGGGCCAAGATCTTCTCTACTCTGGTGGGTCATAACAGGTTGTCCAGTGAGTTAGGTGGCAGTGCCAGCTGTGGGACTTCAGGGTTTCCACATGTGTATCCTTAGCTTAGGGAGGAAGGCTGGCTCTAAAAAATCCTGACAATTTTTAAATAATTTATAGGAAAATTGTTTTAGAATTAAAAAAAAAAAAAAACAGAACTGTGTATTCATAGAAATAATGTCCCCTGTAGTGACCACTGAGCTTAGCAGCACCCATGGTCAAACAGGTCGGGGAGCCAGACAGGCTGCACCCCAGCTCAGTCTCCCTTGGCCCGGCCCAGCAGCAGCGTGAGCCCCAGGGCCTGTGGTTTGCTGTCAGCTGTATCTGTTTAGGTGCTGCCCTACCATACTATCCCGACACAGAAGCCAGTCTTCCTCAGAGTAGGCCAGAGCCCTGTGTGTATCTCCAGCACAGGGGAGCATCCAAACCCAAGGTGTCCCAGTCGCGGGCCTCTGCACAGAGCTGCTCCTTAGCCCCTTGTGAGGGCTCTCAGAGATGTGTCCTGCCGGTCACTCACCACGGCCTCCTCCCTGCCTTCCCTTGCAGATGGACGGCCACTGTATGTGCTCAGGCTAGGCCAGATGGACACCAAGGGCTTGGTGCGAGCTCTCGGAGAGGAGGCCCTACTGCGATACGTAAGTGCCCAGCTGGGAGTGCAAGGCCGAATACTGGCCTCGGTTTTGTTGCCAGCAGGACTGGGCTCCACAGCTGGCTACTCGGACAAGTGTGTAGTGCTCCACGCTCGGGGAGATGTGCTCCACATACAGGCTTCTGAGGAGGACACATAGCACGAGCCTCAGGAGATAGATAGTTCCTGCCACCTCTGACTCCACGGTCACCATGTCACATCTCTTCCTGCTTACCCTTCCTCATTACAGGCTGATGGCCTCTTTCATAGACCGCTGAGCTGTCTGAGTCTGCCCCACCCTGTCTCTCCCTAAGTCACCTGTGCCCCTGGCTCAGAGAGGCAGCTCTTCTTTCAGCCTGAAAACAAAGAATTAGAAAGGCGAATCTCATCTCCCCAGGATTTGTTCGCAGCTCTTGTTTTGCTGAGTATTCTTGTAGGAACCTGTGCCCCAGCCGCCCCCCCCAACACACGCAGACAGTGTGCCGCCCTCTCCCTCTCTCTCTCTCTCTCTCTCTCTCTCTCTCTCTCTCTCTCTCTCTCCCTCCCTCCCTCCCCGTCCCTCCCTCCTCCTACCCCCTCTCCTACTGTCTCAGGCGAGCATGTTCTGCAAATGCCCCTGCACATGAGTGCTCCCTGCTCAGGTGACAGCCTGAGCTGTCATTTCTGTGGGCTGCCTGCTTTCTCTGCTGCTGACACTCCTGTTTATTCTGTGCAAGTGAAATGTTTGTTGTCTCTATGTGGGTGTGAGGAGAGTCCCCGAGGTCCCCTGTGCACGTGTCATCTTGCCTTAACTCCCTCCCCTCTGTGGAGTCTGATGTTACCTTTGCCTTCCGGGACTGACCCTTCCCATCATGGGCCTCTGCTTACAGGTTCTTTCCATAAACGAAGAAGGCCTGAGACGATGTGAGGAAAATACCAAAGTCTTTGGCCGGCCAATCAGGTGGGTATGGCCTTGTCTCTTCAGCATATAAGGAACAGGAACTAAATTAACTACTTTCTGTTGCTCTTTGGCACCACAATCTGATAATTACTGTTTACCACATGTTCAACCTTCTAAGGTTGAAAAAAGCAAGTGATAAGGTTGATGCTAAGCTTTATATTCATCCCGCTGAGGTGCCAGGCTTCACAGTCCTAGGAGCCAGACTGCAAGTGAATTCCTGTTGGGTTTTCCTTTTTTGTCTTGTTGTCACTCCCCAACCCCTAGGACTTTTTCATGACCCAGCCACATGTGGAATGCTGATGTGAAATGGCCAGAGAGAAAGTCAGGCAGATGGCTCAGGCCTGCACTTCCATCACTTGAGAGGCAGAGGCAGGAGGATTAAGAGCCCAAGGCCATCTTCACTACTCTATGGCCAGCCTAAATCACGAGAGACATGTGGGCCAGGGCTCAGGTGACCGGTGTTGGTTCCTGAGGTAGCGCTTGACCTGTGGATAGTGCAGTTACTGTAGCACACACTGTATCAAATGCCTACTGTCTGCTTTGGCAACAGGCCAGGGAGGTGGCACCAGCTTGCTCAGCACTGAGCAGGTCTAAGGGGGCTCTTCAGTTGTTTAGTTGGAGTTTCAGAGCTAGGGTCTCCTTAGCCCAGGCTGTCCTTGAACTCCTGCTCCTCCTGCGATGCTCCCTGAGCACTGGGATTTCAGCAGTCTGTAGTCTGTCTGGACTTCACCTGTGGTAAAGGTGTTGTTCCTATCCCATCGAGCTCCTTTGGGTCACACACACAGATAGAAGTAAGGGTCTATAGCACTTTAGTTTTTTTAGAATTGTATACTTGGGAATGGCTGTAAATGACTTTTATAGCAAAAGAAGAAAATTAAATCTATTAATAAACCATTTTTTCGTATAACCCGTAGCTCGTGGACCTGCTTGGTGGACCTTGAAGGACTGAACATGCGCCATCTGTGGCGACCAGGGGTCAAAGCCTTGCTGCGCATCATCGAGGTGGTGGAGGCCAACTACCCGGAGACGCTGGGCCGCCTCCTCATCCTCCGAGCTCCCAGGGTCTTCCCTGTCCTCTGGACACTGGTGTGTTTAGATGTTCTTCTGTAGCCAGCAGGGCACGCTCAGTTCATGTCTCCCACTGAAGTCTCAGCTGAGCGGGAGAAACACATAGATACAAATAAACACATAGATACAAAGCGGGAAACAGAGCAGAGTTTTCCTGAGGCCCCGGTGCTCTGCCGGTAGACTCAGAGTGTATGAGAGCTGCCACCTGTCACCTCGCCCACGCATGGTGTCACACGCAGGCTTAGTCTCGAGCTCCCAGCTCAGCAGGTGAAGTCACTGTTGTGTCTGCTCGATTGCAGGTGAGTCCGTTTATTGATGACAACACCAGAAGGAAGTTCCTCATTTATGCTGGAAATGACTACCAGGGCCCTGGGGGCCTGCTGGATTACATCGATAAAGAGATTATTCCTGATTTCCTGAGTGGGGAGTGCATGGTATGTGTGGGCAAGCAGGTGCATGCTGCACCGTAGCACAGTTTGCACTAAAGGTTTCCTGACCTTTTGGTTGGGCTGCTGGCTTAATTTCATTGAATACTGTCTTTGGGCCCAGGATTGACATGGCCTGAGCCACTGGGGACGTTGTTGATGATAGCACTTGCGTTAACACTTGGAGGATTTGGTATGGGACCCCCGCACCAGCTTCCTTTACTCACACAGCAGTGTATGACTCACTGTCAACTGCGTCAGGAACTCCACGGTTCTGAACTACAGCTTTTTACATAACTCTGTGGTGTGTGTGTGTGCGTGCGTGTGCGCTCGTGAATATACACACATGTGGTATGAGTGTCTCTGTGTGTGTCTGTATGTATGAGTGTGTACATACATGTGTGCATGCGTGCATGTGTTTAAATGTGTAGGCCCAAGGTTGACTTGGTTGGTCTCCACCTTGTTAATTTGGGCAGAGTCTTCATTTGAACCCAGGACTCACTAGTGGGGTGAGTCTGAGTAGCCAGCTTGCTCCAGCATCTCTCCCTCCAGGTCTCATGAAGTAGAATTACAGGGAGGCTCCTCTGCCCACTCAGCATTTACAGAGGTGCCAGGGGTCCAAATGCTGAGCCTCACAGTCATGTGACCTACACCTCTTTGAAAACACTTGCAAGACGCGGCATTGTATCCGAAGGTGGATTTCTCCTAGACTTAAGTAAACGGACAGGATAGTCAAAGTTGGAAAGCAGAAGAGTTGCTTCTCTGTTCGTAGGTTTGGGGTTTTAAGAAATGAGGTGATGGATAACTAGCCAGAGCTCTCTGCTTGCAGATCTTGTGCTATGGTGTAGGGGTCTGATGCTAGGATGTGCAGGGTCCTGCCCAGCACTTGACAGGAGGACTCAGGGACCACAAGCCCACAGAGTTACATGACTGGCTCCATAGCACACAGTAGGAATGCAAGCAGCAGGGCATCAAAGTCCTTAGCAGGCTTTCTAGTCACACTTGACAGTAATGTTGGTCTTCTGAGGTCTCTGCCCTGGGATTGGCACATAGGGTTAGCTGAAGAGTTGAGCTTTGTGTGATTTTTTTTTTCCAAAAGGCTGGAGGGTTTTAGAAAACAGAAGCGGTGAGCTTCAGTTGCATGAGGGAGATTGAAGATGCCATCGCAGTACAGAGAACAAGCGATCAGGGGCAGGGTTAGAGCGCAGGCGGGCTGTGGCACCCTTGCCAGCTGTCACAGGGAAAACTAGCATCCCAGGCAGTTATGACAAGAATTGAAGGGAGGAAGGACTCAAAACTGTTACTCATGCCTTCTCTTGGTGTATGCCAATGTTCTGACATGCTCAGCGTCAAGCTGAGGCCTTCTGAGGCCTGTTCTAAACTTTCCACAGTGGCTTCTCAGCCTGGCTGTTAGAGATGTCATTTATAAACTGTTGACTTCCCTGTGGGCAGAGGGCATTGAACTTCCGGGCCAGGCTGGTGTTGGTTGGTCTGTCTTCCTTGAGACACAGTGTCAGTATGTAGCTAGGCTGGCCCTGAACTCACAGCCCTGTGGTCTCAGCACTTAGTGCTGATTGCAGGCTTCACTAGCAAGGCTGTTCCTGCAAGCGTGTGTGACTTTAGTGACTGCAGGGCCATTGTGCTGTGTGGCAGGCTGAGGGCTGCAACCTTCCTTTCTGTGGAGTGGCTTCTGGGTTGATAATCTAGAGAGTACTTCGATTTTATGCACCTGAATGTGAGTCTGTTTCATAAGGTCAATTAGAAAATTTATAGTAAGAATAAATTCTAATTCAACATAGCTTTTTCAAGTAAATTCAAAAGACGTAGTCCCTTGTTAACTTTGAGCTGATTCGTTAATTGTTAGGGTTACATAGGAAGTTTGCTTTATTTTATCTTGGTTAGAATTTTTTCCTTCTTTTTTGTGGTGCTGAGATGAGACCGAGAGCCTTGTACATATTGGGCAGCCTGGGCTGCTGAACCACACCCACAGAGATTGTAGTTTCTGTGGCTCAGGAATAAAGCTACCGGATTGGCTGTCCTGCAGTGCAGTATGGGTTCTGTTAATTCTCCTGTAGATCGTCTTAGTAATTGAGTCTGTACCTCATGAGTGTTAGTGTGAATCTTGTGGTAAGCCAGCTTCAGCTTGTTCTCATTTATTCAGAGTAAAAACACGTATGCTTAAGTGGGCTTCACAGATATTTTGCTAAGTACTACAGACTATTTGATAGCGTTGCCAGTGTTCTGTTTTCTCAGCCATTCCAGGAGGTGGGTGTGGGGTGAGGGGCGGCCTGGCCTCTGCACAGCTCACTGCCGTGTTTCCTTCTAGTGTGACGTGCCAGAAGGAGGACTGGTCCCCAAATCCTTGTACAGGACTGCAGAGGAGCTAGAAAATGAAGACCTGAAGCTCTGGACCGAGACCATCTACCAGTCTGCCAGCGTGTTCAAAGGAGCCCCACATGAGGTGCTCACCCTGCGGCCACTCCCATGGGAGGCACCCTCACCCACCACCTGGCAGGCTTCCCTCGGGTCCTTGGTTTCTTTTTCTAGTCTTATTCCTTAGGTTTAGTTGGCACTGATGTCAGTCAGTCAGTCAGTGGCAACGCTGAAGGGTAGGGCTGCCTCGGAAGGACACTTCAGTTTGACCAGAGCCTTTTGAAAGCAGACTGGCCCATTGGCACTATTCCATGGGCTCCTTGACCCGATCCAGAGCGTGGCTGGCCTGGGGAGGGTTGCTTCCAGCCCCTGCATTTAGTTGGATGGTTTTATGGGACACATTTTGCTCACTCATCTCGTCGTTTGTGTTTCTGTCTTTGCTGCTGTTTGTCAGTCTGGTGGAATGAGGAGAGATGAGCCCTCTTGTTTCCCTTCTGCTGACTCGGGGGTGGTGACAGGTGCAGAAGCTACAGTGGTCCTGTTTGACATGTCCCTCTAACCTGTCCATGTGGTGTGACATTGCTGGCTCAGTCTTTGCTTCGCTCTAGGGCAGGTGTGTTGCTCAGTGTTCCTGGTGAGAGGCAGTGCTGTAGCCAGCACAGGCCCATCCGTCAGTGTGTTGCTGGCTCCTTGACTTTCAGCTGTGGCAACCCGGGTTCAACCGCCTGGCAATTTCCATAACTGGTGTGTCTTCCCCAAGAGCTGCAGGTACATAGAGGCAGGCTGAAGAGTGAGCCTGGGGCTGTGCTGAGAACAAGCAGGAGCAGGTCCCGTTGTGTGTCTCCCTCCCTCCCTCCCTCCCTCCCTCGTCCAGGCCTGTGCAGGGAACCTTGGCTCTTTGACTGGCCCAGGAATCACTTGACTTCATTCCTTATGTGGGGCCCTTTTGCAGGCTGGGCTGGAGGCCTGTTTACTCTATTTAGGCAGCTATCAGTTTTATCTTGTTGCAAGGCTCAGGGACTCGTTGTGTTTCCTGTGAGTCACCAAGCACCTGTCACTGTTGAGACAGTAAAGGTGTCACTCTGCCTTGGGGCATAGGGAAAGCGCATATCAGGAGCAGTGCTGCCCAGGCCCTCCTGGGCTGGTCCGGGCTCCGTCAGTCAGCTCCGTCCGTCAGCTCCGTCCGGGCTCCGTCAGTCAGCTCCGTCAGCACAGAGGCCGAGGGGCTGGCCAGATAGGCTGCATCCTTTACTGCCGCCTCCTGCTTTGAGAGGGGCCATTGTGCCTCTTGGATCTGCTGTGACCTTCAGAGGTCATGGAAGGGTTGGAGGAGACAAGGCAGTGGACCACACAACCATTCCTGTAGTTCGGCCTCACACCCTCCTCACAGACCTGCTCCTTCCCTCTTGGACACATCAGGTTTGGGATTGACACTACATCCCTGGCGGTCACTCCAGGGACACAGCTGATCTCTCCTCCTGCCTGTGGGCCTCCATTCTCAACAGCACCTTGTGCTGCAGCCCCACTCTGCTCTGTACTCTGCCCCACCCTCCTGTTTGTGCCTGCTCAGTGCTCCCGGCCTGAGGTGGCCTGAGGTGGCCTGAGGTGGCCCACTGAGTCCCATGTCCATGCGTGCGCGCTTTTCTCTCCTGTTGGGAAGTGAGGCTCTCAGGCTGCTAGCGGTTTGGCTCACCGGTGCCGCCTTGCAGGAACACTGATAGAATGGTGGAGAAGTTGGCAGGCGGGCAGCTAGATGGTTGGGTGTCCTGTGGCAAAGAGAACTGCCTATTGCTCTGTCCTGCCCCTCCGCCAGCTCCCACATGTGAACCATAGAGCCCCTGGAGAGAGCCCATCCCTGCCCCCCCGCTGTGGCCAGGCCTCGTGCTGCAGGTTGGTTGATGACAGATCTCCTTCTTCCAGATTCTCATTCAGATTGTAGACGCTGCCTCCGTGATCACCTGGGATTTTGATGTGTGCAAAGGGGACATCGTCTTTAATATTTATCACTCCAAGAGGTCTCCCCAGCCACCCAAGAAGGACTCGCTCGGGGCCCACAGCATCACATCCCCAGGAGGGAACAATGTGCAGCTCATAGACAAAGTCTGGCAGCTTGGCCGGGACTACAGCATGGTGGAGTCTCCTCTCATCTGCAAAGAAGGGGAGAGCGTGCAGGTGAGCCTGCAGGCCAGCACTGCTGCATGCTGCACGCTCTCTCCTGACGAGGCCATGTCTGGCCCTCTAGCCCAGGTGGCTTCTGCCACCAGGAGAACCGCACAGGTGGACTACCTGGTGCCAGAGAGACTCAGGATGTCCAAGGGCACAGAGGAAGGAGAAGCCCAAGACCAGTAGTGAAGTGTGGATTCCCCACAAGTGCATGTGCACCCAAGTGCCCGGTGACAGGGAAGAAATGCTTTATAAACACACATCTGGGTTTCAGGTGACTGAGATATGACTAGGCATGGCTTTGCCTCCAGAGGAAAGTCACACAGACAGAAGCAAGAGGAAGAAGTGCAGAGGGCACTGTCAGCTCTTGCTAAGAGCTGTGACAGCTCTATACTTCCCTGGTTCATGTTGGCCTCTGCAGCTCTCTCCCTGTGTGCTGGCTGCCACAGCACCTCTGGCCCTGAAGGCCTGCTTACTTTCCTCCTGCAGTGCCGCTGACCACACCATGGCCGCCTGCTGTCCTCCAGCTGAGGTTGTCAGAAGCCGGATGCCAGTGCATCCGGTCTATGACACACACAGTGTAAAGGGAGTCTCCCATCTTAAAAGCTGTGCTAGGAAGGTGACAGGAGAGTGGCAGAGAAGCTGTTTCCTGACGTACACATCTCTGTCAAGAGAGACAGGCCCTCCTGACAGGCCCTGCCTGGCCAAGCACCTACAGCTGGTGGTCTCTAGGGACTGCAGGTTGCTGCCTTCTTAACACCTGACAGGCGATAGCACAGGCTGCCTCAGTGGGTAGAGACAAATGATAGCACAGGCTACCTCAGTGGGTGGAAGGACATTATTAGGCTGTTTACTCACGGCAAGCTCTCAGGACACTCTTCCCCTTGGAGCTTGGCAGAGTGTCCTGAGTTGCTGCTGTTCACTGTTGCAGGGGTCCCATGTGACCAGGTGGCCAGGCTTCTACATCCTACAATGGAAATTCCACACCATGCCAGCCTGCGCTGCCACCAACCTCCCCCGAGTGGATGACGTGCTGGCCTCCCTGCAGGTCTCCTCCCACAAGTGCAAAGTCATGTACTACACAGAAGTCATCGGCTCTGAGGATTTCAGGTTCGTGCCCGAGAGGGAGGCTCTGGCAGCAGGGGCTACTTGTTCACTGTCTGCAGCTCTCAGGGCCATCGGAGAGGGGGTGTGGCACTTGCTAAGTGAGTTTGCTGAGTGCAGTGTCACCTGGGGCAAACCACAGGAATGGGGTCCTCCAGTGGGGTCTTCAAGTCCTGTCAGCTGATCGGGGAGAGGGATAGAGCCGCTCGGGGCCAGCAGGCCTTGCTGGCGGCTAGGGCAGCTCCTCACTCCTGCTTCTGTGTGGGTTCTGTCTGCAGAGGCTCCATGAGCAGCCTGGAGTCCAGCCACAGCGGGTTCTCACAGCTCAGCGCTGCCACCACCTCCTCCAGCCAGTCGCACTCCAGCTCCATGATTTCCAGGTAGTGCCGCGAAGCCTGTGCCTAGTGCGAGGGAACCGCGTCTGCTGTCTCCGCCCACCCCAGGATGCAGACTCCTCCCTCTAGATAGCAGCTAGCTCTGCAGCTGGTCACTAGTCACCTGGTCCCCAGACCATCCTGACAGGTAGTTTTAACTCTACCCCTAACTTTAACTCAATAGCCATAGATTTTGTATACAGCGTGCACAGAATCAAACCGGAGCACAAGGGCTCTCGAAAGAAAGTAGTCTATCTACAGTAAGAGACTGACTGGTCTCAAATGTCCATGCAAAAAATGTTTCCAACAAACTCCACCTTGTCCACTAGTGAATGACTTGTGTGACACCCTGCAGAGACTCGCCACCTCCTCCTCCCCGGAACCGAAGCTGCAGCAGGCAGCCCTTAAGCTGCACAGGGGTCCTCTCGGCTCCTGTTAGTGGAGGTGCCTGTGGATCCAGGACAGCTCTTGAGGCCCCTTTCCTCTAAGGATTTGGCAGCCTGCAGGAGCACCCGGTCCTGGGGCAGAGCCAGCCCACTCCTGAGCAGGCCTCGCGGCCCAGGACGGGCTGCCAGGGCTCCTCTTGACTCCCGACAACACCGCCATCATTAAACATTGCTTTCTCTTTCCTCCTCTTCAAATCTTTTGATATTTTTCAGAGCAAAATTTTTCTGTCCATGAGCTTGGGGGAGGGGAGGGGCGGAGTCTTTCCCTCTGCTGAATGCTGCCTGTCCTCCTGCAGGTGGGCCACTCTGTGCCCTCCCAGCACCCAGGATCCTCAGTCCTCCCACACCCAGAGTTCTTGGTCCTCCCAGCACCCAGGGTCCTCAGTCCTCCAGCACCCAGGGTCCTCAGTCCTCCCAGCACTTAGGGTCCTCGGTCTTCTTAGCACCCAGGGTCCTCAGCTCTCAGCAGGGTGTTTGGAAGCAGTAGGTCACACTTGCCTTTTGGAAGTGTGGCAGTGCAAACTCTAGCAATGCTCTCCAGGGTGCCGCCTGGCTTGCAGTGGCCTTGGGCATGTGGGTGGATGTTGTGGGCATGTATGTAGGTGCTGTGTGTGTGCACGAGGGTGTGGGGTGCTGCTGGGGAGGGCCGCAGAGCTGCACTTGTTCTGTCTGGGTTTCGTAGAAGTGGATCAGAGGCTGCGGCTGGTTTGTCTGGGTTTTGTCGTTTTTTTTTTCTTTTTTCTTTTTTTCTGATCCTGACTTCGCTGTTAGAGCAGACCCTCAATTTTCAGCTTTTCTGGGGAAAGCATGCTTCTTAGTGAGCTGTCTGGAAGTTGCAGGTAGCTGATCTCCAGAGAAGAGCGCAGGATCTGTGTGTGTGTGTGTGTGTGTGTGGTAACAGTGTCTGAGGATGTGTGCCAACTCCAAATGGCCATGAGTGTGTGACAGGAGCAGACTCCTGTGTACCTGCTCTGAGGTACTGGCTGCCTGTGTGACTTGAGAGCTCTGTAGAGGCTGCGGCATGTCGGCAAGCACGAGGAGACACGATCCCGCAGCCTGGCTTGGCCTATGAGCCCCCTGGCTCCTGGCACCCTGAGCCATGCTTGGGTCTCTGGTTGCTGGCCTTTCTGGCCCCATTGGCACGCATTTCCTGTGCATGGGGGCCGCTTGCATACAGCACAGCAGGGCTGTAGCTATGTCCATGCTGCTTCCAGTCAGGGCTTCCCAGCTCCAAGCGAAGGGACCTGAAGATGCCCCCCCGCTCTCTCTCCCTTCCCTCTCCCTTTCTCCACGTCCCAGATGGCGGTTTTGCTGACAGCCTCCAGGAAAGCGCTTCACTCGACAGCCCACACGTGCCCAGAGGTGTTTGTAGACCTATCTGAGTCGTAGCCATGTCCCAGGCTGAAGAGCTGTCCCCTAAGCCCATTCAGAAGTGGCACTGTGCAGTCCCTCAGAGCTGAGAGCATCTTTACTAAGAGCTCACAGCACACAACTCCACGCTCACAGGCCCTCAGCTTCCCGCGCCTCAGGGCACTGGCTGCCTTGTGAGGGGAGACTGGGAAATGACCAGGCAGCTCTGAGAGCTGCCCCTCCCAGTGCCCAGCACCTTCCTAAAGTGCTGCTCCCCCACTCCGGGCTCTCCTTGTTTCTGGTGTCTTAAGTCACTCTCCTTCCTGAATCCATTATTTGCATATCAAATTCTGTAAATGTTTTGTAAACATATTACCTCGCTCTTGGTAATACAATGCTGATAGTCTTTAAAAGATTTTTTTATTGTTACAATAATAAATGTGAACTGTTTAAGAAGAGTGTCCTTTTCTTCTTGGGAGGCCCCTAGGAAAAATAGAGATTGAAGAGAGAAGCTGCTCGGGCCCAAAGGCAAGGGGAGGCCAAGCGGCTGAGTGGATGGCCAGCAGCCACCCTGTGCAGGCCTGCTGTGCAGTTCAGCACATCAGACATGTGCTGCAGAGTGAGTTCTAGGATAGCCTGGGCTACATGCCAAAACCCTGCCTCACAGCCTGCCTCTCGGTATCATTGTATTGCTTAACAGTAAAATAGATTTCTTCAAGCAGGTGACTCTGGAATTTGGGACAATAGGCAGGTGTGGACCTGGGGAGACTAGAGTGAGCCTCACCCTGGCTCTCGTATCTGAGTCTGCAAAAGCAGCAGGGCCCAGGACAGCAGGGCACAGGTCTGGGAGGAGGGTCATCACGGTCTTGCCAGGGTGCAAGGCCAGAACCTCCTCAAAGGGAAGGGTGATCTTCATCCTTGATCTGTCCTTAGTGGGACACAACTGGGGGGGGGGGGTGTCTGAGTCTCATTACCGGGTGTGTGAGCCCTGCTGGGCGATGCTTTTGTTCCAAGCAGTCCCCATCTCACACTTCCTGCTGAACTTGCAACCTGAGGAAAGACTTTAGGTCAAGGCAAACCTGTCTTTCCTAGCCTTGGTTCCAGGATCACATTTTTGTGGAAATGAGAGACAGCCTAAGAACACGCAAGGCTTAATTGCATCTAACCCAAAGTTCTGTCTCCACTCTTGAGATATGACCACCCTGGAGTGGCATGTCCTGACTAGGCATGCCCTAACCAGATTGCTAACATCCTGTGCTAACATTGTGTTCTTCCTGAATGACACCATAGTTTCTTTTTTTTGTTTTGTTTTGTTTTTTTGTTTTTCGAGACAGGGTTTCTCTGTGTAGCCCTGGCTGTCCTGGAACTCACTCTGTAGACCAGGCTGGCCTTGAACTCAGAAATCCACCTTCCTTTGCCTCCCAAGTGCTGGGATTAAAGGTGTACGCCACCACTGTCCGGCGACCCCATGTTTTCTTTGACAGGTTTTGGCATGTAGCCCAGGCTATTCTAGAACTCACCCCTCATGCTGGGCTGGCTTGAAACTCACTATCCTGGCTCTTCCTCCCAAGTGCTGGTATTACAGGTGTGTGCCACCATAACCAGCCCTATGTTTTCTTTGATGCCAAATCCCTGGAGAACTCTGACCAAACCTAAACCTTGAGGTACCTGCAGTTCTCAAGTACCAGGGGAGGTATTCTCATCAATGTCATGAAGCAAACCAACTGGACTCAATTCTGCTCGAAAAGTGACGACTTTGGCTCAGTGGGTACAGTGCTCACCGCCAAGCCTAAGGACCAACGTTCCACTGTGGGGACCTCAAGCTGTCCTCTGACCTCCATGCGAATGGTATGCCATGCACAGGCGTGGTGTATACACAGGCACATACAAATAAATGTAATTTTAAAAACTGAAACCCAAGGACATGTTGAGTTACACATTCCAGGAAGACAGCAATGGTGTCCCCACATAAATACAGCAAGGGTAAAACCTACAGCTGTTGGGAGTGTTGAGTCCCATGCTCCAGAACAGTAAAATGACAGCATTTGTTGTATTTTTTCCACAGTGATAGCTCCCGTGCCCACCACTCTACCATAAAACTAGGCAGTCAGTAATCTTAGAATGTCCAAAACAACCATCTCTTGGACAAACCAGTAGTCACAAAACCCTCATGAACTCAGAGGAGGAAGCAGAGGTGGTCTGGAAGATTTGGCCAGGATGCTCTGCAGCATCTGGATGGTCTGGGGCAGGGCAGACTGGCCTACTGACCTGCTGTACACTGAGCAACCAGGGGTGTGGGTGGCTGCAGGGCAGCTCTGGGAACAGACGGGCTTACTGTTGTACCACCAACACTGAAGAAGGGAGCTCGTGCAAAGTAACACCCACCAAGCCAGTGACCCAGCATGAAAAACTGAATTTAGGTCTGGGCTGTGAGTGGGTTCAAAGAATGCTGGCCCAGCCTGCTGGAAAACCTGGGTTCCATCCACAGTAGCACGTAAAACAGGGAGGTTGTGTGTGCCCTTAAGCTCAGCACTGTGGAAGCAGGAGGGTGTCAGGGTTCAAGGTCATTCTTGGCTATGTTGTGAGTTAAGAGGCAGCATGAGACACTACACACGCACACACATGCACGCACACACACACACACAATTCTTGTTTGTTTTTCAAGACAGGATTTCTCTGTGCTGCTCCAGGTGTCCTAGAACTCACTTTGTAGACCAAGCTGGCTAAGAACTCACAGAGATCCTCCTGCCTCTGCCTCCCTGCTGGGGATTAAGGGCACTGCCATGCCTGGCTCTCCCTCCCTCCCATGCCCACCCCAAATTTTTAAAAGTGAACTAGAATATGGAAAAGAGTTGAAATAATAAAAATGGAGAGAGAGTCTGAGAAGTGCAGAGATGGAACTTACAGAAATGAGAGGGTAAAAGGCCGCCTGCTCAGGCTGACAGCGGGGAGCACAGAGCAAGGGAAAACGGGAAAACTGAATCCCAAGTGGCGACTGACATCCAAGTGGGAGCGGGAGCCAGGACCTCTGAGCCACCAAACCTGATGACCTCAATTCCATTCCTGAGACACATATAGCAGAAGGAGGTATCAACTCCTGACCTCACATACTCTGTGATACGTACGTGGGCGTCTACACACACACACACACACACACACACACACACATACACACACACTCAATTTAGATGTTTAAAAAAAATTCTTGCTGGGCAGTGGTGGCGCACACCTTTAATCCCAGCACTTGGGAGGCAGAGGCAGGCAGATTTCTGAGTTTGAGGCCAGCCTGGTCTACAGAGTGAGTTCCAGGACAGCCAGGGCTACACAGAGAAACCTTGTCTTGAAAAAGCAAAAAAAAAAAAGAAAGAAATTCTTGGCGCATGTGAATGACGACTGAACTTCAGACCAGAAGCAAATGAAGTAAGATTTCTCAAGGAAAAGGTGAGCAGAACGCTTTATGGCCATCAAACTGGCTGGAGTCTAAGGGCCCTGATGAAGATGGCTACTGGCCTGACTTGGGAATCCCCACACCCAGGGCCTTTCTAGGGCTCTGGAGAAGTTGCCCATGCCTGCTCGGAGCACTGAATGGCCGATGGCCAGCCTGTCTACAAAGCTAAGACTAGAGAACTGAGTGGGGGTTCTTAGAGGTGTGATCTACAACAGCCCAGAAGGATGGGAAGCGATAGGCAAACATTGTATTTAGTGATGTTCTGAGTGTCCTGTGGGTTCAGGTTAGAATAATAAGGCAACTGTAGGAAAATCTCTTCTGTTTTGGGAGAGGGTCTCGTTCTAAGTTAAACTAGCTAGGAACTCACTATGTAGACCAGGCTGGCTTTAAACTCACAGCAATCCTCCTGTCTCAGCCTCTCAAGGTGCTCAGATGATAAAGTATATGCCTCCATCCCCAGCTAATGATGGAAAGTTTTAACTCAGTTGCCCTCTACCGCTCATCCAGAAGTCAGTGTGGAGGCACATCAGGGAGAGGCTAGCTAAGGGCTCTCCAGACACAGATACGGATGGCTAAGATACTAGATGGCTAAGAGAACCATGAGCTGTCGGGCAGGGAGTTCTCATAAATTAAAGAGACTTACTAACGCCTCAACAAATAGCCCAGGTTGAACTGTTTCAGACACAAACAAATGCTTCTTTAAAACAAAGGGACGGGATCAGGCATGTGGCTAGGGACAGAACGCCCGGGTTCCATCCCCAGTACTACATAAACCCAAGTACAACTCATAGCCGTAGTCCCAGCGTTTGGAAGGTGGAGGCAGGAGGATCACACTCTCAGGGTCATCCTCAACTATATGTCTAGTTTGAGGCCAGCCTGGGTTATGTGAGACCTCATCTTTTTTTTTTTAAATAATTATTTTATTTTATGTATATGAGCACACTGTCACTGTCTTCAGACACACCAGAAGAGGACATCGGATCCCATTATGGATGGTTGTGAGCCACCATGTGGTTGCTGGGAATTGAACTCAGGACATCTGGAAGAGCAGTCAGTGCTCTTAACCGCTGAGCTGTCTCTCCAGCCCAAGACCCCCATCTTAAGAACAACCAAAAACCACAATGTGTCTGCTAATTGTTACTAGGACAAATGTCTCTCCAGCCCCTGCTGTGACTGGCATGTGGCAGTTTTAGCTCACAGTGTATGTTCACCTTGTACAGAGCCTGTTTCCTTTATTAGCTTGTAACAAGGGTGGTGGGTTTTGTCCTTGTAAGATACCAGCTTTGGCCAGGTCAGTGTGCCTCAAAGGAAGAACACAGGTTTCTCTTCTCCCAGTCATGTGGTGCAGGTGCTGTGGGCAGGAACTGTCCTGAAGCAACTCACAGTGGCCCCAGGACACACTTTGGCCGTGCCAAGGACGTCAATGCAGGGCAGGAGCTGGCGTGAAGGCATCTAGCCACCGAGCCGTCCCTCGCTGTTGTTGTTCCGGAGGGGACCAGCTGCCCTAGTTAAAGCTGAGTCTTGCTGCCACATGCTGCCCATGGTTGTTCTTTCTTCACAGGGGAGGACTGGGTTGCTGCTCACCCTGACCTGGGGCTTAACCAGAAAGAGACAACCAGGAGCTCTCCTAGAGAGTGCCGCAGAGCCAGTGAAGGCACTGTGCCCTGGTTAGAGGTAGGAGTCACAGCTGCTGCCTATGCCCCACCTAGCCCTGTCCCCAATTCATGCCGTCCATTGCTGTGCAGTCAGTCCACAGCTGAAATTTAAGCCCAGGATAGCTGCCTTGCTCTGCCATTCTTGCCCTGGCTAGACCACTTCACGCCTGTGATGGCTGGCTTCTGGGTCTGTCGCCCAAGGGGAGGCTGCTCAGGTAGTCTTGGCTCTATTGAGGTATCCCTCCTCTGGTGCCAGCTCTCGTCCCCCCACCCCACTAGGCAGGAGGCCCCAGAAGCCCTTGTGTTCAAGGCTCACTATTGGAAGGGATGAAACCTTTAGGAGGCGGGGCTAC